AGTTATGTGCCACTGGAGCTTTCTTTCGTAAATCTCCATCTCCTCTTGGAATTAGGAAGGTTTTGATCAAGGGCATGTATGATTTTCCCTGGACTCGCTGTACTGGCTTCCAGGGTATGTCTGTCGGAACACACCTCTGAGTCCCCTGTACCCTCATGTCTCTCTTAGGACTTGTTGCCCCTTCCCCAAATTGGTGGCCGGCTCGGGCCGTGGCAGGGGACCGAGTCTCTCAGAAATCCTTGGGTCATTGATCTTTGAGCTTATATGGATGGAATTCTCTCGACGTTGCTTCAGGAAATCCCGACAATCGCGAAAGACGGCTTTCGATCCTTCTGCCCTTCAGCAAAGAGGTGTCTCCCTCCACTTCTCATGGTTCGGGTCGAAGCAACTGGGTTAAGAGAAGCCTCATGTTGATTATCAAGTCGAGGGGTAATCTGTTCCCTATATCAGGGATATCTATGTGTCGAATGCATGTGACCCTCCATGTTGGAGGGCACCTAGTTGATGGTTGACTTCCACGGGGGCAACAAGCTCGCGTGTCTGAGCTTTGCCTAGCTTCGTGGAGTGTCTCGAAGAGCTTCTCATATTGCTCCTGGAGAACCTCATTCCTCATTGCTATCTTTGTTGTTTCTGAGCTTCCAACTCATCGACTTTAGCTTGAAGAAGAACTCGTTTTCCTTCCTTCTTTCGTTGCTTCGCACTATGTGCAAGGGGGGTGTCATTCTGTGTGCTGTGGCTTCCTTCGCTTCCCATTGTTGGAGAGGGATGCATGGTCAAAAGAAAGTGTACGAATGATAGAAAACCAGCTTGACACACAGCTGAAGAGAGTAGGAATAAGTGTCGTTCCCACAGACGGCACCAAATGTTGATGCACAAAATCAGCGAAGACTTTGGTACAAAACAGAAGTGTCAGGTTTTGTGACCTTCGCTTGGTTGCTTCGGTCACTAGTGAGGATAAATACGTAAAATGAATAGAGACAGAGAAGCAAACACAGGATGTACGTGGTTCACCCAGATTGGCTACGTCCACGGAGTAGAGGGAGTTCTTATTAGTAGTGAAGGGCTTACACAAGTACAAAGGATCAAGCTCTCAATTTAGTGAGTTCTTGTGAATGATTTAACACAAATGGCATTAGGCAATATTGTGGGGGAATGACCCCTATTTATAGAAAAACTTGTAGCTTTGTCACATTGACATGTGTCATGTTGTGATTGGTTCTTGATGTCGACACGTGCTGCGCTCTGATTGGCTTCTAATCTCTGACACGTGTCGAGTAGTGATTGGCCTCGGCGTCGGAGGGGAACTCTTCTGGGTCCTTGACAGTATAGCGTTGGCCGGTGCTCGGTAGTTTCGGGATTGGTCAAGTATGGTACAAACAAATTGTTTTCCCCTACTTGCTGCGTCAAAAACTAAATCACAAGCTTCTGCTAAAAACCGAGCAGTTCTAGTAAGATTTATAATATGAATGCCTTTACGCTTTGTAGAGATATAAGGTGTCATTCTAGGATTTCGTTTCCAAGTACCATGACCAAAATGAACTCCTGCTTCCATCATCTCTTCCAAAATTGATGTTCCAATATCTTCTTGTCATTTCTCCCCACACTTCTTTTTCTTCTCTTTTTTTTTTTATAAAAAAAAAATGAGATGAAGTACCTTGAAAATAGAAAAAAATAATTGTTCCCATGGAACCTTCTATTCTAACGGAAATTGGCCGTTGGTACAGATCCAAACCATTCATTTCTTTCCATTCGTTAGTATCTTTATTACTATTACCAAATCAAATGACTGTAAAAGAATGAATTCTCTCTTTCGAATCATTAAATCCCATAAAGGATAAATTAACTCTTAGGAATCCTAAAAATGATTGTCTTAATGCCCCTTAAATCGTTTGCTTCCAACTTTTGGCCCTTTTATAGTTAAATTAATTAAATCCTAGACACATCAACATCCGGACTTCATGGCCCAATGGATAAGGCGCTGGTCTACGAAACCAGAGATTCTGGGTTCGATCCCCAGTGAAGTCGTCCTTTTTCTCTATTTTACAGTTCCAATTTTTTTTCGCCCTTTCCCTCTTTCAGGTACCCAGATCTGTTCAGTTAAATACAAGAAACTATTATCAACGTCAATTGAACGATATTTCTGCTTGTTTTTTACAGAGGTGATCTTTAAAGGTGACCTTAAATTCCGATCAGCGTTCATGCTACAAAATAAACCCCGAAAATGTGTTATCGTCATTGCTTCAAATTTGATAGAGATTCTTTTTGTTTGTTTCTTTTTTCTGTTGAGTATTCTTTGACATGCTCGAAGCAATGCTACAACCCCAACTGGGATACTTGAAGTTGAATCAAAACCGTGGAGTTTTGTGACATGCTTCAGTGATTGAAACCGGAGGATCAGAGAATGCGCCGTCCATAATGCGGGTGGCTAGCCACTCGTTCGCAGCATCAGAATAGTGTCCTCCATCCCAGTTAATGTGCTGAGAAGGATTGCTACAAGGACCTCCAACTTCAGTGCCATTAACAATAGCTTTCACCCCACAACGGACAGGGACATCCGTAGCTTCCACAGCATTGAGCTAGAGGACTCGTAAAACCTGCGCATTCCACACAACGGAGAAAAAAGGGTTTAGAGTTTTGGATACACCGAAGAAATGAAGTATAGAAACCCTAGCTAAATGCATGAAGAGGGAAAAGACTTACCATACTTCTCCGCTTCACTGATTAGTGTGTATTTTGCTGCATAGACATCGATGTAAGTAAAAACTGCTTCTGAAAGTTTGGCTCTTAGTTTAAGCACTCTCTCCTTGAGCTGCCTGTTAAATTCTTGACACACTTCATTGTACCGCTTCAAGCAACCGTTTTGATCCAGGTCGCCGGGTTCTGCCATCTTATACGCCAGAGTTGAAGGCAAGCACCCGAGCGGACCTGTGTTGTGAATCCAAAAAACTCTTGCCCCTTGTTGGTAGAGTTGCTGCACATATTAAACAATCTGTTTATCGAGCCATCGGGATTTTAGGCATTTCATGTGACAACTATGACGGAAAAAAATTCTGGACAGATTGTTTCTGACTTCGTGTTAATAAAGTTAACCCGACAATAGTGGTTCATGAAATGAATAAGAAGATCTAAACTGGTTACCTCGATTGTCAAGGCTAACTGCGCTGTTATGCTGGAAACGTTTTCCAGCAGCTGGTCTGCCGTCTTCCAGCTTAACCCGGCACTAAGATCGTTTTGTCCAATGTCTAAAGTGTACAAGGCCTTGGAGAAGTCCTCTGCTCTTGGGAGGCCGGCCTTGACGTATGACCTTTCATCTGAAGACCAATCCGTCATTCAGTGCAACAGCAGCATAATGAACAAATATTATTCCAGTAAAACGTCTTCAGCAAACGTCTATCCTTACCTCGAGGGAAAAACTCATTTACACGTGCTTTGAACTGCGCAAATTGCGAAAGCTGTACGTTAAGAGAGATGGGGCTATATCCATCTCCAAACGTCCTGACATCTAGTGGCTGAATCGTAGATGCTACAATCGCGAAATTCGCTCCACAACGGAAGTTTGCTCCAATAGAATTCAGATAAGCACTTAAAAATGGAAACCCCAACTTTTGAGCTGCAAAAGAAAGGCAAATAAAAGTCTATAGGTAGCCTTAAATTTGAAGACAATGTAATGACAACAGTTGATGCTCTAACCTATAAAATCGATGATGATACGCCCGTCTGAGAACCTGCCAGAAGGTTTACCAAAGAAGGTATAGCCATAGGGAGAAGGAAGCCGATAAAATGTCGCTGAGAAACTACCAGTGTCCGAATTTGAATCCCCAAAGTTATACATTGCCGGGAATTGACAAGCACTGCGCGATTTCTTCTGTGGTACAAGGCCGAAGGAAGTTGAAAGAGCAGCAACTAAAACAACTCCAACTGCCACTGCTTCCACACTCTTCTTCAGTCCCCATGGTCCTCTCCACCACCTGCCGATAGAAATAAACCTCGCACGGTCCATAAGAACTTCGTACTTCGTGAAATCGATAGAATAGCCTTATAGATTTGAAGGTCAACGGGCAGGCAAGTAGCATAATCTGGAAACAAATATTATGAAATAAAAGATGCATTGTGATATCATCACAAATATTATTGGATTTCATTTGTTAGGGGTGTCCACATCGGTTGTTTAAATTTATTCAAGAACAAAACAAGGTTGGATCCTTAATTTAAACACTCTCACTTCAATGATTAAGTACAATATTAAAGCCGTACCAAACTTATAGAACAAGTTATCCGCTTGAAGTTGAATCAGAACGTGGAGGATTGCGACATGCTTCAGCGATTGAGACTGGAGAGTCGGAGAAAGAGCCGCCCATAATTTGGTTGGCTATCAAGTTGTTTGCAGCATCGGAATAGTGCACCCCACCCCATCTCAACTTCAGTGCCGTTAACAATCGCTTTCCTCCGACCGCCGTGGGGACCTGTGTTGTGAATCCAATGAACTCTTGCTCCTTGTTGGTAGAGTTGCTGCAAGACTACCAATATCACTATTTTGTTCAAGATTGTAATCTCTTTAAGAACATTTACAAGTTCATGCGAAGATGCAACATTGTAGCTGTTTTCATGGTTAACCATTTTCTACGCAAAGAAATTACAGGTTACGCCCGAAGCACTAGCCATTGATGAAATGAACGTAGCCATATCGGAGACCATAAGACTTCAAGGCTTACCAAAGAATGTATTGCGGTAGGGAGAAGGAAGTTGAAAAATGTAGCTGATAAATCATCCGTGTTGGAATTAGAATCGCCAAAGTTAAAACCTTGATGGGACTTGGCAACCACTCCAATTGCCACTGCCTCCACTCTTCACTCCCCATGGCCCTCTCCACCACCTTTTGGTAGAACCAAAGTCAATGAGAAACTTGGGATGGAATTTGGATCGATGGTTTATCCCGTAGGATTCAGAGAGTCAAGCAATCGCGCAACAAAAATTGAGAAAATTGAGTTCCGCAACGAGGTCATGCACAAAAGAACCAAAATATCAGTATAATTCCCAGACGATTGTCACAAAAATAGACTAGCGAGTCCCGTAGTGTTCAGTAAAATTGGAACCTAAGAACAATACAGGCTCCTTCACATAAAAAAAAAAACAGACAACAAAGAAAACGGAAAACTGCAATTTTACATAGTGTCACGATGTAACAGTAGATCTTCAACGCAAGAGTTTTCCAAGTGCCGGTAATCAATAATGCTTGCTCCATTTCCCAGAGCAAAATGAAGAAAACAAAAAGAGTGAGGCAAAATATTATTTGGTCCTGTTTGTCAGAAGCGCAATTCAACGAATCCATAGAAACGGCGCAGTTGTTCACCATCTTTCTCTTGACCTTGCCCTGCCAAATAAACAACCACCAAACGTCATATGCATTTTGTGGCATTCATAGATTCATAGACAAACATTTAGCTCTGAAAGTACATATTATGCTGACTACACAGGCGTAAATCGTCGAGAATGGATTGTTAAGTCATTTAAAATGCTATTTTGAGATGTCCCAATTCTTTAATAATCAAATGGTCATTCTTTGAAAGTTTCTGATCCAATTTTAAACTTTTTCTTACAACTATTTATCAACTTTTTTCCCAATGCATTCTTTGAGAGTTCCGGGATCAGGCTACTAAATAGCATATTGAAAAAATTTCTTTCCTAAAAGCATAACAGATCAAGTTACTTCTTAAACAGGTTAACTTCCTCCATAAGACTGTAACAGGAAAGCACAGAAGCACATTATTCTCACCTGCCCATGTCTCTGCTCCCCAGAAATCCTCCTCTTTCCCTGCCACCATGGAATGACCTTCTGTCATCAAAAGGCCTTGCCCACGGATCTCCCTTGCCTTGCAAGGGAGACCTATCTACGTATTCCACACTTCTAGAATCTTCAAATGACCCGGAATAAGACGGCGTCCTCTCATGAAAGTTACCAGCCCTCCCTGCTGAAGACCCAGGCCTTCCTGCCCCAGAACCAGGCCTACCAGCCCCAGACCCTGGCCTATCGATGGCCTTCTGCCCAAAGCGAACTTTGTCATCAAATTCTCGGATCAATGCCTCCAATTCCCTTTCCTTCTGTAGTATTATATCGCGTAGACTTGGCCGGTCACCACCAGACTCTTGCACAGTTTCACTGTTCACTTTATCCGTAGATTCTTTCTCGAGTTCCTTCTTTAGATGATCTATTTCTTCCTTCAATATCTTTTCCTCCTCTGTTTCAGGTCTGCAACAAAAGGCTTAAGAGGTCAATTCAACAGGACACCCACGGGTTACATATAACCACGACAAGAAAGTTGAAAATAAACAGTTTGCCTACTGCTTACAAGGCAAACTACTTGAGTTTATTGATAAGGTTTCATTGGCCTACTGCATTTTGCAATGCTAAATTACCGCCAAGTGGAAAAGGTAATCCAGTGAATAATATATTTAACCAATTAAAATGTAATTCTAATAATTTCCACGTAGGTGCAATCAGGTTTGAATATTTATAAAAGCAAACAAAATTAGTATCTTGTGATTAGATCAGACTCATTCAGCAAAGAAAAAGACACCAGGCTGTTTCAGCATAACATCCAGCAAAGAAAAAGACATGGTCTTGTGCAATGTCTCTGACTGCCTAGTTGTATGCAATGAATATCTACTTCATCGGGGAGGGGAAGAAAAAAGTTACGTAAACTCTTTTCACCCCCACACCACAAACACACAATAAGACAAGAATGTGCCCAAGAGGAGGCACTAACCCAAACATAATCTCCTTGTTTCAACCATACACTAGTCTACTCATTTCTATAGACCCCTTTCAATCGAAACATAAACCAAAGGTGACAAACGGCACTAACCCATCTAGCTTCTTTGCATACACTTGTAGTTGCTGGGAATAATTCCAGCAGTATTCTCCCGATGATTAACTAGTAAGACAACTTATGGCAAGTAAGTAGGGACTAAGATGAAGAAATGAAGAAGCAATGCAAGTAACAAATGAAGTCGAGCAATAAAAAAAGAGTTCGAAGCGCTACTTGAAGGAAAAAGAAACTATCGCTTAAAATGGCGAACAGTCGAATTTCAATACAGGATCTCACGGGGGCATGCTTAGAACAGTCCTCATGACAAATCATGACATAGCATTTTGTTTTTAGTGTTAGCAAAGCACTAATGAATTAAAAGGTTCCCCATTCCACTTGAAGAAAGTAGACCGATAAATTTCCTCCTAAAACTATACATGACTAATATTCTAAGCATCAGCAACTGGGCAATTCTTAATAGCAAAAAAACAATCAACCAACCATTACCATACATATTGAAACCATTACTTAGCTGAATGCACTACCTACAAAATCGACAAAATACAAAGCAAAACCAACCTGTCAATACCCTGATGCTCCAGCTCGAGATCAATCTTCCGCCAATCCTTACCCCGCTCCTCCAGCAAAACCTCCCTTGGCTTGGCATCACCAAAGGGGTTTACTTTCGGCCGCGGCTTCACCACATTATCACTTGCATGCAGCCCGGGCCCTTCAGACCGGCTTGACTGAGCACTCGAAGGCCTGCTTGAGTGGGCACTCGTCGGCCTACTCGTCTTCTTGGCTTCTATTTCCGACTCCAACTTCTTCCAATCCAACCCTTTCTCAGCCAAAATCTCCTCCCTAGGTCGAGCTGCTCCGAAGGGGTTCGGCTTATTGGTCTTCACAACCTGCGATGGCTCATTCACGCCGGACTCGGCTTTCGGAGGATCCAAAACCAATTTGGGTCGCTCTCTCTCAACTCTGTCGACCTCGCGTCCGCCTCTCACCCAGCGATCCGGTTCCGGACCCGAATGAAATTCAGACCCAAATGGGGATGACCTAGAAGGAGTAGGCTTTTTTCCAACAGCCCAGTTATCAACCTCGTCTGCCCTAGACCAAGCTGGGCCGCCCATACCACCACCTACACCATCACCACCCCCACCCCCAGCACCAACACTACCGAGCGAGCTATACCGGTTCTGCCTACCGGAATCTACAGAAGGAAGAGACTTTTTAGTCATTGCCCAATTGTCAACCTCGTCCGCCCTTGACGGTTGATCTAAATCAGAAACCCTAGAAGGCGGGCCCCTCCTGTCGTCGTCGAATCCACCGTAGGATCTTCTTCCTCCACCACCCCACGACCCGTCCCCGCCCTCTCTGTCCCCGCCCCGACCCGGATTCGTACCAGAGCGACCGTAGGAGGGAAACCCGCCACCGAGGCGACCGTACTGCATTTCTTCGGCAGAGCGCTCCTTGGGGCCGGTAGGGAGGCGCATCATCTCGTCGGGAGTGAGGCCGACACGATTAGAGGCGGGGGTGCCGGAGGCGTTGTAGAATTCAGAGAGGCTCATCTTCTTCTTCTTGGGCTTGGCGCTGACGGCTTCCTTTAGACTGGGAAAGCTCTGGGACTCGGCCTTGGCGGCCGCCGCGAGCTCCTCGGCCTCTTCTCGCTCAGCCTCGGCGGCCCAGTTGCCGACAGTACCCCAGGGTTTGGCCATCTTCGACGGTTTGCGAGATCTGTGAACGCAGTTCGAAATGAAAGGGAGAAAAATGACCAGAAAAATTTGAAAAAAAAATGGAACGGGACGAAGGCGAAAATAAAATAAAAAGAAACTAGAAGGTGAGATGCGAGCTGGGGCTCCGTTATTGTAGCCGGAGCTCCGAGAACATGAGAAGAAGAGGGAAGAGCAAGGAGAGTGGGCGCGTGAGCTTTTGTGTGTAGGAAATACAACTCACCAGCTATATCAGCTACGTGGTGATTTCCTGAGGCGGTCTGATTGTCAAAGTGGGCCCGGGAGGTCGAACTGTGAACCGTTGATTTTGTGGGCCCCGAGTAAGTCGTGGGCCTCATGCAAGTTGGAGCGTTGGGGTGTTTGCGTGACTTGTTGGGTTTTGTGCTTGGTAGTTTGACGGTTGTGATGCTCTTTACAGTGCACCTTTTTCTGGAGAAAAGAACAAAAAAAAACTAATAAAAAATGTTTGAAAATTTTGAATTTTAACAATAAAGATAAAATAAAGGGTAAAGTAAATAGTACTATGATTAATTTTTTTAGTGTAAAAATATAGATTTTCTTTAAAATAAACAGTTCTATAAGCTTTTAGTTAAAGTTCTAAAAAAAAACCCTTCAAAAATTCAATGAGAGTTTTTCATTATTATTATTATTATTATTATTATTATTATTTTCAAAGGATAAATTTGTTAAATTAGATGGTAAATTTATGAGTTGACTATAGGTTTTGGGAAGAAAGCAGATTGCATAGTATGTTTCCTGATAATTTTCCTGAGAATAATATTACATAATTCAGGAGATAAGGAGTTTCGAATCCGGAATGCATGGGTGAAAATCCATTAAGATATTGGACTACATGCAAAAAACAAAAAACAAAAGGAAAAAAATGATTTAAGTTGCTTATTTCTTATTTATAACACATTATTTAATTTATAAATTTAGTATGTCTAACCTTAGTCGGTTGAATTTAATTGCTTTACAATTACAAGTGGAAGTGGAAAGCTAGCCTTAGTCGGTTCATCTCCCATTACACTATCTTGGGCATATCCCCTATATGCTACCAGTGCCGCCAGGCTGCATATCTTGGGCAAGAACGCCACACCTTGGGTTGGGCCAATTTGAGATTTTACGCTTTTAATATGTACAGTTGGAATATGTGACGGTTAGAAATCTAATTGTACACGTCACGTCGCGTGCACTAGCCACTGGATTAGAAATCAAAACTTTCTTTACCATTGGAAAACCAATGGTCCAAATTTTCATTGAAAATTCATCGTTCGAAAATGGGCCATGTCGCCCATATATACAACCCGCGCTTAGTGCACTGCAAGTTGGGCCCCACTGACCTTGTTTGTTTGCCAAAACACACCACCCACTCGGGTGTTTGTGCGCGCGCCTAACGTAAAAAAAAAAAAAAAATTAATAATGTGACTGACGTTATGTTGATCTGACACATGTGACATCAGATGGCACTCAGAGAAGTGGTCGGGACAGGAACTGGATCCTCTCCCTATCCAACGGATCTGAGCCAACTGAGCAATGCATCCGGACCATTGAAATTTGATCCAACGGTTACAAACAGGGGCCCCTCTAAAGTTATACTAATTGTAGCCGTTTGATCAAATTTCAATGGCCCGGATACATTGCTCAGTAGGCTCAGATCATTTTGGATCCAGAGAGGATCCAGTTGTGTCGGGTCAGAATGCTTGATGGGCCTGTCGGGCAGGCTTGGGCCCACTATTTGCCTGACTTTTTGGGTCCATTATTTGCCTGACTTGCTCTAAATGCCACCGCATGTAAATTAGATGGGTGTCCGTGTATTGCATGAAAAGGGCTATTTGTTTTGAAGACTTTTGGGCATTGTTCACTGTTTATTGCGCCTTGCTAAACGAGTTAAGCGTCCGGAATCCATCGCCATCGCAAGAAGGACCGAAGAAAAGAAAGGTTGAATAGGGTCCGATATAGGTTCATTGCTACCTAGATTTTACGGTACAAATGTTTTAACTGTTAAATCTAATTTTCACAATTGTTTAAATTTTTTAAATATTTATTTTTCGAATTACTTAATGTTACATACCATCGAAGAAAAATGAGATAAAATTATCTAATTTCTCTCTGTATGTATTCTAATACAACACAATAAATTTGATTCAACGCAATATATTTCAATAACACATAATAATGTGCTTCAATTTCTGCTAACTTGATTCACAAGTTACCAAAAATATTGATAGACGTATATCTCAGTTACCTAGCGTCTGATGTCTCGAGTTCGATTATTGTTTTCACCGGTTTGATTTACCCTCTCTCGCCATTATTGCTTGTATAATATATATACCTCATTACTGATTAGTCCCCCGTATCCCCTGCTTTCGCTCCGTCACCAAAGCCTGAGCCTTCCTCTGCATCGCCAGCAGCACGTTGTGCCACGTGTTCACTCTCGAATTCACCTTCCCGTACACCCCCACATTCACGTCCTGCAAATCATGCGTCTCCACTGCCAGAACCTCACCCGCCTCTGCGCCGTCGAGCATCCAAATCAGGCACGAGCAGAACCCCTTCGAGATCTCCGAGTCGCTGTCCGCCCGGAACCTAATCCTCCCCGCCTCGTCCATCTCCGCCTCCACCCACACCTGCGTCGAGCACCCCTGGACTCGGCTCTCTGGCTCCCGCGCCGACACATTGTCCGGCGGGAGCCTCGCTGCGTAGTGTAGTAGCCGCTTCACGCGGTCGATTGGCTCCGCCAGGGACTTGAATTCCAAAACGAGCCGTTTTATCTTGTCAGCCACCATCTCCGTGGCCTTCGACGGAGGTGCCTCCGCCGCCGTCAAGGCCAACGCGCTCGTGATTCGAATTCCTCGACTGGGGCTGCATTTTATGGATAAGGAACATCTGTTGTTTTGTTTGTCGAGTTTCAACTTGGCCGGTATAAGGTTGTGCAATTGGCGGTTTGAGGATGATTCGGCGGCGGCGGAGCGGGAGGATGAGAAATGAGGCAGTGTTGTTGTTGTAATTACCGTAGCGTTCATGTTTGGATGCAGAGAAAGCGATGGAAAGAGGAAAAGAAAAGTCGGGAAAATGTTAGAGAGAGAGAGAGAGAGAGAGAGAGAGAGAGAGAGAGAGAGAGAGAGAGAGAGAAGTGGGGGAGTTGGTTAAACTGGAAGGTATGGAGAGCAAGAAAATTGGAGATCCTTAGAGTGCGCACCGTCTACCCTCGTTGTCTGCCGCGAAAGTTTCAATGAGGATAGAGGAGTGAAGAATTTACGATACTTATAGATGAGGGGTTGGTTCAATGGTTCGCCACGAGGGAGAGTCAATACGAGGCGCCAAACATTACAAAATTGATGTCGTAACGTATTGTGCATGTGGTACAAATATTCTTGTGAACAGTCTTGGGTTATCTCAGTTTGAAACACATCATCTTTAAATTATTACAATCGTTTCGAGCTATTCTCATTTTTTAATAAGGGAAGTGTTATTAGCCCTCCAAAAATCTTATTTTACACTCCTCACAAGTGTATTTTTCTTTCTAAATATAAAAAGTTAGGAGTGTAGAATGAAAATTTTGGAGTGCTAAAAACAATTCCCTTTAATAATAGTAAATTTCTAAAAAATATTATATTTTTTGGAATTAAATTTATTTTTTTGGTAGAATTATAGTCTTAATGGATTAAATAGTTAATTGTTAGTGACGTTGAGAATTAATAAGAACGATTCTTCACATAGTGCATAGACATAATTAATTTTAACTACTACAGTAAAACGTCATTTCTGGAGATTAAATTTATTTGTTATTTTTTAATCATTTTCTATGGGTAAATAGAAAACAATTATTAATACTAATTGAACGATGCCTCCTTTCATCGTTGACGGATATGAAATCCACGGCAATTACAACAACAAAATAAAAATATTCATATTACAAATCAACTAAATTTTTTTTTGACTATTGTCCAATTATCAAATATACGAATTCAATGTTTTTGGATTGAGTTAGAGCTCGTTTGGAAGTGCTTAACTAACTTAAAATGATGTTAGAAAAATATTTTTGAAATCAATTCTTAATACAAATGCAAGTTAATTTTGAAAAAACATATAAAGTGCTTCCTGCAAGAAACACAAAATTAATGCTTCTTGAAAAAATCACTTATGTACTTTTAGTGTTTTTGCAACAAAAAATATTTACTTTTAAAGCATTTTCAATCATTAAAAAACACTTCTCAAACACTCCCTTAATTCACCACCGCTAGTGACAATAATAATTTTAATAAATATAATATTCCAAACTCCAAGTTGGGGCTGCCGCACGTGATGATATGATATGTATGTCTTAAGTGGAACTAAAATGTGACAGTTAATTAACTAATTAATTTTATAAAATTATTTTTACACAGTGTGTGACTTGTGTGCTTACGTAGCCGAATAGAATTAGATATTTTTCATCAGCCACCTTTGTTGCTTTAATTATTTCATGCTTCAAGCTTTGTTCATCCGCTAATTATGTGCACATATGAGAGATGATCGTGAGGTTATATTATTAAATGGCATTTATTTCTAAATTGTATCGAGACTTTTTGAATTCAAATTTTATACTGTGAAAAGTTTATTAGATTTTACTCATCATGTGACTGATATGAAATGTAAAAAAGTTGATGTTACGCTCTATTCTTGTTCAAATTATTTTCTTTTTATCATCGTTTCAGATTGGCGTCCAACATACCGTAATCATTCCTATAATTACCAAAAATATCCAAAAATGTACATGATGAAGTTATATGTAGTTGCTTGTTGGAAATGTAACGTGCTTAGTGATGTAGCTTTTGGAGTACAATGTGTGTTTCTTTCCTTTAAATTTGTATCCATTACGTGGCGGCCTTACAATATCATTGTGAGATCCCAATAATTTATTACCAAAGAAGAGAATTATTTGGAAATTATTTATCGAAAAGGTTCTTATATGAAGATAGTAGGAATTATAATGAGCTCATGGCATTTTTGAAATACATTTCGAACTCTCTACGATTTCAGAATTTACAATTGAACTAGGAAATTGTAAACAAATGTCATTCATTGAGTGGCTAAGTTTGCCACGTGGTGTTTACTGCCTACCTTAAGGACACTAATCCTATTATTAGCATGTTTGGTGGAAAGTCTGTAGCTTAGGTGTTATCACTTGGTGTTTTTAGAGTGCTTAGAAAGCACTGTAGGGTGATGATTATTGAAGGCTATGTTGATGACTAATGATGCCTATAGCTAACGTGAAATGGTGTAATAGCAAGTGGAGTTGATTGTAGAGAAACTTATAAACCAATGAGAACAACTAGTTTGCTGCCTTATTTATGGTATAAATAGGAGATCGTCTCCATTTGTTTTCGAGGGAGAGCTAGCATGCAATGCATGCTCTGCAGCTCATGTGTGTATATATATAAGTGTCTATATATATTTATAACGATATGTTCGTATGCATACTATATGATATATATGTATGCATGTACTTGTATGTATACCTACGCACATACATATAGAGAGAGATTAGAAAATAAAAGAAAGTAAAATAAATATATGGTGTTAGGAGCAATCAGGGAGCTTCCTCAAGTACATGGAACTTAACTATTTCGGTAGTGACATGGATAAGTACGTGAAGCTTAGCTATTCCGGTAGTGACGTTGATCTTCATTTTAGCTTTGGAATCCATGCAGGGGAAATACGGCAGACCTTTACGGAAATTGATTTTATTAAATTTCGTGAAGTGCTATAATATTCTTGATCTTTTTGGTTGATTAATGCAATTGGATATTAATTGGCTAATTGCTTCAATAAGTGTTTACTTGTTATTGGTTATGAAATTATTGCTGGAATGCTATTCATTAAGGGTGTTTGTACCATATTTAGGGCCTCTGTATTTAGATTTCGTATAAATACTCGGGGGACTCAAATGTAATTATGTAATAAAGGTAGGGGCAAATATGTAATAAGTGAGGAGCCCTTATTCTATAAAAGGACCCCTCACTATCCTCATTAAGGGAGACCAATTCTTAGGCCACACCCTCACCCTCTCAGAGCTCTCATCCTCATAGAGAAGCTCCCTCTCTCCCTCATAATCCTCTCAGAGAAATACAATATCAGTGTGGACATAGCCCAAACATTGGGATGAACCACGATACATCTTGTGTTATTTACATTTTCTGCAGATTCACGGTCGGATTTACGTTGTTCCAAGACCTCCGGTTTTGTGCATCAACATTTGGCGCCGTCTGTGGGAATCGATATGAAAAGTTGTGTCGATTCTCCTTCATTTTTTCACCTCCACCGTGAATCTGCAAAATCACAAAAAACCCAGAAACAGAAAAAATCTAAATCTCAAACACTTTTATCCTTCGCCGGGATTTCATAGTCCCCAACAAAAAGACTCTGCAACAAAAGCGATTTCACAGGGATTTCAACCCAACTAACACTATGATTTCCAAAGCTACAAGCTAAGCTTATCTTTTGCTTTTCACAGTCCCCAACAAAAGCTATAGATCTGTCTGGTGGTCTTGTTCTCCGCAGAGACATTCAAGATACCGTTAGCGTCAATGTCGAAGCAGACGATGATCTGGGGTACTCCTCTGGGTGCAGTCGGGATTCCGGAGAGCTCGAATTTTCCGAGCAAGTTGTTGTCCCTGATCCTGGTTCTCTTTCCTTCGTACACCTGGATCAAGACTCTGGGCTGGTCGTCGGAGTAGGTTGAGAAGACTTGTTCTTTCTTGGTGGGGATGGTGATGCCTACGGTGCTACAGTTCAGGGCGTCATTCTTAGCGGAGAGGGCAACGAGAAGGTTCAAGACTAGCCCGCCTCCCCCACGCGTATCTCTATGTACGCCCACTCTCCATTCTCTCTACAACGCAGAGGCAAAACTGACCCGACTCGTCGAACCGAGCCTAACCCGTGTGATTCATCTCCTTCATAGCTGCCGTCATTTCCGCCAATTGAGTTACCATCGCCTCCGTCAGTTGATTTCTCTGAAATTGGTAGCATTTTTGTCAGAATCCGACGATGGGGACTCGAGAGATATACGAACAGAAGCTGATGAGCAGGAACTTGCACCACGATCCCAGAAAGTCGGGGGAGAGGGCTCTGTCAGGGGACTTCCTCAACCTCACCGCCGTCGGAGACACAGTCATTTTCGTCGGCTGTCAGTCCCACTCAGGTTCAGAGTTCCAAGGTCCTCTCAGGTCGGATCGATGACTTCCAGTCCTCTCATGTCTGATCGACGACCTCCTAGCGGCCGTGTCATTGACAGGAAATTCGACAACTTGTCGTCTCGTGCTTCATTCTCTTCATTTTCCGTCTCTAAAAGGCAGAATGTGGCTTTAAGGAGGACACGGTCTCCCAGAATCTGTACCATGGCCAAGGAATTGTAGTTCAACAAGGATGGCTCTGCCATCAAGAAACTACAGACTAATGTCAACAAGCTCGTCGACCTTGTTGAGGGCGGTCTTGTTCTACCACGACATCACGAATTACAGAGTTTCGATCTGAAACTCCACACAGCGAGGATGATCGTGGTAAGTTTCAGGTTGGCGAATATTGTAGGTGGACCCGATGGCCTACTTTGCAGGTGGACCGGGTGGCGAACAACATGAGCAAATTGATCAATGATGTGTTCGGGGGTAAGATTATGCTCCAAACAAAAACCCCACCCACTAAGATAATTGCAGAAAGAAGAAAAAAACAAGAAAAAGCTGAAAGTATAGCTATCCACTAATGCACATCAGCCCAAGCTCCAAGTTGATTAAGGGAATCAACTTGGCACGATGACAGCGCAAAAGATGCCCACCAACTTTCATCATGCATGTTCCCACTCCTCACAGACGACACCATGATGTTAAAGAAAAAGAAAAAGAAGGAGGAAAAGAATAGAAAAAGAAAAAGACATAATTGTGGTGAGGATAACATGCAGAAGAGGGAATTATAGGCGTGACCCATTGAGCAGATGGTCGACTTTATTTTTTAATGATGTAATTTATTTTTCTTATCTTTCGGAGACATCTGTATAAACCCTATCAGAGGGTAATAGTAAAAAAAAAACCCAAAATAATGGGTTGGAATGTTATGTGGAGGGCGAAAGCCCATATGCCCAAAAGAGCGAGGCCCTCTATTATCACCAATCAGATGATCAAAAGTACGCCCAGTACTACAAAAAATTATTCGGCTGCCTGCCGCTATTATTACCCACTAGGTGATCAAAAGTACGTCTAGTACTCCAAAATTATATATGAGCATCACTCATGTCAATCATACATAAACATTCATGAGCATCACTCATATCAATCATACATAAACATTCATAACCATCATTCATGTCAACATTCATAAGCATCACTCATGTCAACATTCATGAGCATCACTCATGTCAACATCCATGAGCATCACTCATGTCAATCAACATAAACATTCATGAGCATCACTTATGTCAATCAGCTTCAAAAGCTTCATTTACAGAGCTCTAGCTTCGAAAGCTTCATTTACAAAAGCTCTAGCTTCAAAAGCTTCATTTACAGAGCTCTAGCTTCAAAAACTTCATTTACAGAGCTCTAGCTTCAAAAAATTCATTTATAAAAGCTCTACCTTCAAAAGCTTCATTTACAGAGCTCCAGCTTCAAAAACTTCATTTACAAAAGCTCCAGCTTTAAAGCTTCACTTGCAAAGCTTCACCTACAAAGCTTCAGTGCAGGGTATACAAATATCACATCCGAACAACCGCCACTTCGGCCCATACATGGATTCAATTTGAAGTCTCCAGCCAACAGACTCTATTGACCGAAGATTTGAGGGACTAGATTATGTACCATATATTGAGCCTCAACTGGGCTTCATGAGAAATACTTGGGGGACTTAGCCCATCACTTATGTATTGAGGAGCGAGCCCTTATTTTTTAAAAGGGACTCCCTCATCATCATTAGAGAGCATCGCTGCTTGCTGAGCAACCACCTCGCCACGAGCATCACTCCTAACCCATTATTCATGTACCGAGGAGCGAGCCCTTATTTTATAAAAGGGACTCCCTCACCATCATTAGAGAGCACCATCGCCTACTGAGCAACCTCCTCGCCGCGAGCATCACTCCTAACCCATTATTCATGTACTGAGGAGCGATCCCTTATTTTATAAAAGGGATTCCCTCACCTTCATTAGAGAGCATCGCCGCCTGCTAAGCAACCGCCTCGCCGCAAGCATCACTCCTAGCCCATCATTTATGTATTGAGAAGCGAACCCTTATTCTATAAAAGAGACTCCCTCACCATCATTAGAGAACATCGCTGCCTGCTAAGCAACCGTCTCGCCGTGAGCATCGACTCTAGCCCATCATTTTTGTATTGAGAAGCGAGCCTTTATTCTATAAAAGGGACTCCCTCACCTTTAACGCCACAAGCCGAGTCAACCAAGGAAACATAAGCCACAAATAGAGTAGCCTCGCAACCTGTGCTACTTCTAGTTGAGCATCATTTCAAATTGAGCACCGTCTCATATCGAGTATTAATTCTAGACGACATCTAGTTATTTCGGCCCACACATGGACTGAATTTTAAGTCTCCAGCCAAAAGACTCTCATGATTGAAGACTTGGGGGACTACTGTTTGTACCATACTTAGGGCCTCCGTATTTAGATCTCGTATAAATACTCGGGGGGACTCAAATGTAATTATGTAATAAAGGTAGGGGCAAATATGTAATAAGTGAGGAACCCTTATTCTATAAAAGGACCCCTCACTCTCCTCATTAAGGGAGGCCAATTCTTAGGCCACACCTTCACCCTCTCATAGCTCTCATCCTCATAGAGAAGCTCCCTCTCTCCTTCATAATCCTCTCAGAGAAATACAATATTAGTGTGGACGTAGCCCAAACATTGGGGTGAACCACGATACATCTTGTGTTATTTACATTTTCTGCAGATTCACGGTCGGATTTATGTTGTTCCAAGACCTCTGGTTTTGTGCCTCAACAAAAGGTTTAGGCAGGATGAGATGTGGTTGGAAATTCAGTATTGAGATTTGAATTCGGGAAATGAGGGTAGTTGGAAATGATCTTTTGTGTAGTTGACTCTATTAATTGTGAAACCAGTTCCAAGCAAGCTCAATGTGCACAGTAGAATAGGATATCGATGGGAATTGTTGATGTGGCTTATTTGGGTTGGAGATCAATGAATTAGATAAGATAACTAGCAAAAGGGGTTTATGAACTTGGGATATCATATGGGGGTTAGTTTCTATAATAGAACATTTGAACCACCTCTGCAGTAGTAAAATGCATGGTATGGGACGTGCAAGTCCGCGTGTTTTATTATATAAATTAATGGGGGTAGCTGAAGAGGTTGCATTACATTCATGCATTATTATCAATAATGAATCAATATTGATTTGATATTTGGCTATATGATTTCATGACACTTAATTTAATATTGTCAATTTACTATGATAAGGTTATGTCCCTATTGAGCTGTTGAAGTTCATCCCGCTATTGTTATGCAAGCTTACGAACTAGACATTCAAGAGGGTAGGTAGGATGAGATCAAATTAGATTGGAGTAGAGAAAGTTTACTCATCTGTTTACTGCAGGTTGTAAAGAATTCCTGATTTGTTAAGAATCATGAGTCATTTTATAAGAAGAAATTTATTTTCCAACCCGTTTCTATTTCCTTTTATTTACGTTTCAGATTCGGGTTTGAGTTTTTATTATCGACCCCAGATCCGTGGTGTGACAATCATTGAATTATGTTTGACGACCAAAATTTAAAAAGGAAAACTAATGAAAATTGCTTGAAAACTTTGAGTTTTAACAATAATGACAAAATAAAGGGTAAAATAAATAGTACCAAGATTGACTTTTTAGTGTAAAAATGTGGTTTTTCGTTAAAGCGAACAATATTAGGAGTTTTTCGTTAAAATTCTCAATTTAAAAATTTGACATTTATACTAACAAAGAAGAGAGAAATTAAGGGAAGTTTGAACTTAAACTGTAAGTATGAACAAGGTTCACCACAAGTCTTTAATTGATAGCTTTTAACCACGATGGGTCAAATTTAAAGGGCGATATCATCACAGGAACTAAGAAAAAAGTCAGCCTATTGTTATGTATTTATTTAAATTCGCTTGCCACTTTTGTCTTTATATTTGTTTTCTTTGGAGTGGCAGGTATTTCAAATGAACTATGGAATCGCAATTCCATCCAAATTTGAGGGTGCAAAATATAATAAACCAAATTATCATTCTCACTGATTCTTAAAGGTTAAGGGGGTGTTTTCAATTGAGATTTTGAGGGATTTTAATTATTTTAATGAATTTAGGGGTATTCAATCAAAATTTTAAGTGATTTTTTGAAATTCAAAGTGTACTCAATTAGAATTTTAATATAGTTTATTAAAATCCTTAGAAATCCGGATGCATTCAATTAGGATTTTAAAGAAATTTATAACATTCCAGGTGTATTCAATTAGAAATTGATTTTAAAGAATTTGAAAAAGTTGAGGAATTAAAGGGAATTTGAGAGATTTTGTAGTATATTTTAAGCATCCACAAATCTCATATCTTCCCATGAGATTTCGAGAGAATTGAATTAAGATTCTATATGGAATCTCTACAAATCAATTAAACTTTATAAAAATCAATGGATTTATAAATCCATTAAATTATCTCAAATTCTCAATCGAATACACCCCCCTAAATATTACAGCATGTGCCACATCCCTTTCCCTCTTATTTGCTGAAAAATAAAGAACATGAAGAACAAGCAGCAAAACTACACCTAAAAAATGCTTTGGATTATCCTGCACCTAACTACAGTGCAGGACAATCAGTGCAACCCCGTGCGGTATAACCGAAAAAGAAATTGCGTCGCCTATTACCCCTAAGTCTTGTCCGGTCCATACTTCCGATCCCGTGCAAGAACCTCTGGCCAATTTTGTCATTGGAAGTTCTTTGACTATGTCTGCTCTTTGTGCAGTTATAGTAGCCCAATCACTGAACAAATTGAAAAACGCTATGTATATTTCTCCTGTAATTGCAGAAACGCAAACAGAATCAGAATTGACAATCGAGAAATATGCACCAGTTACGTTGAGAATTGAGAAATATGCTAAACCTTTTGTTCCAGTTGCAATCCAAGAGCGAGCAACATCAGTGACGGCTTTAGCTGAACAGGTGATCAACTTGTAAGTTTAAACCATGATTTAAACATGATTTCAAGACTCGCTGACAGAATCAATGTACGAAAAGGCACTCGCGTTTTAATTTGTTACCTTCAAATAAAGAATCAATTCTTGCACAGAGGCCAGAATAACTATTCACCAAGGTTCCGTTGGGGTTCAACTCCCACATCTGTTAAGTTCGAATACGTCATTTCAAAATGTCACTCCTTCACGATACAATTCATTCCGTACAACTTGTTCAGATTAGACACTCAATGGTGTATGCAAGATATCAATTCTGTATGGATTAAATCTATGTATCGGGACTGAAGATACCTGGTTTGCATCCCATCTACAAGGTGAAAGGAAACCTCTCTTAACGTCCTTCGAAGTAAGCTTTTGTTTAGGAGAAGCATGCAAACAGCGATCCGTTCCATCATTTGCTAATAAATTGACCTTCCCCAGATATTGCTGTTTGTCCGTTATGTCTTCATCTCTATATCAGCAGTGAACCAGATTTATCAAGTTTGTAACAGCGCAAGTAAACATAATAAAATTGAGAAAACAGATCAGGGAAAGATAAAAAAATATTACATTGCCAGGAGAGATTCTGTCTTGTTTAAGCAAAAAGGTGCCTGATGTTTGCCCCTTGAGTTTGCCGTCCAGCAGATGTGTTCGCGATCTTGGTCAAGAGCTTGAGAGGACCAACCAATTGCTTTTGCATCTGCACAGGTAGTGAGACCAAGAACATGTGTATTTGTAGTTTTTGCATTTGTCAGATGTCTTCTTGATTGCCAGGTGTGAACGTGATCATCATTCTTAACGGCCTTTGCACTCACATTACTTGTAATGTATGAAAACTGTAAATGCAACAAAATAAGATTTTATGTGCTACCACGAACAAATTTTTTTCTTATGATTTTATGAATTGTCTATTCAACATACCTCCCTATTATTTGAGCTAAAAGAATTTATCTCCAGCACGGTAGGGTTTGCAAGGAGTTCCATTGTGACATCATTAAGCTGTCTCATATCCCCTCCAAACATGAGAGGAGACCTGGCCATAGACCACAAAGTCATCTGTGAAAATAAATGCACAAGGTCAAAAACATTGCTCAGCGAATAAAAAAGGACTTAAAAGACTCAATCGTCCTCATGTAAGTACCTGCGTTCTTTGCTCCCTTAAACCGAGATTAGTCCATCTGTGTGGACCGTCATTTGAACCTAATATTTCAAAATATGAAATGAAATTATGAGAACCACTCATCAAATATCAAACTCAAAGTGCATTTCAGATTTTGTAAATTTCGAGGAGATAAATAACCCTGCAATGCCTTATAATGATATTCTAGAACTATCCGGTTGAAGTTGCTCAGCCGAATTGACATGGATACAGTTGGTCCTAGATATTGAACTTGATCGTTTTCACACTCAAATGCAGTGCGATGACAACCCATCAGTATGAAACCAAGCACATCAGGCAAGCGTCAATAGAGCTCAGTCATCTATCTTAGAATCTTGAAAGGAAAATATTCATTGCCATATAAAGGAAATAAAAATGCTAAGTCCTCTGACCTGGATCACTAAGCCATCCCAACGGAAGCATATCTAAGTCCGGCCATGACTTCCCCAGCAAGCCTTTGGCTCCTATCATATCAGCAGCAGCAAAATCCCTGGTACGGAATTTATTGTGTTCAGCACACACGAAAAACAAAGAATATGCGAAAGTTAATCTGAACGAAACCTTGTACTGAAAAACAAGTCAATCACCTGGTGACATCAAAATGGGCTAGAACATCTCCCCATGAATCCCAATCATCCCCAGTTATACGGTACATGTTGACCATTCCACTTATAGCCTTGGCCATATCAGGTGTTACTCTGGTTCCAGGAGATAGAGAATACAATATAGGACGGTCAAGTTGCTTCAGAATCTGGAGAAGTATGCATTATTTGTTAAGCACCCACTCTCCATCACAATATTGATGAAGATGCATGTTTTGTGTGTGTGTGTGTGTGTGTGTGTGTGAGAGAGAGAGAGAGAGAGCGAGAGAGTTACGTCTGAAATGTAGGTTATTTCGGGTACGTCTAAGTCTTCACCAAACACGCAGTCATTTTTCACTGCGGGGGGTGGGTAAAAGAAGCAACCAATGACAGAGTTAGCAAGAGATAAATAATATCAGAGGAGTATCCTGATGCTTTACGTCGTCATCCATAACTGACGCAATCTTAATATTGAACAAAATACGGGAACTTTTGTTAATTACCAAAATCAACACCCCATTCAGCATACTGTTTATAGAGTGACCTCAAGAAGGCCTTTCCAGCGCCCAACTTGGTATTCACACTCATGAAACCATTGTGCATCCATGCACAAGTCCTCTCCTTGATCCCTATATCTTTTGCAGTCCAATTTCTTCCAGCCTCTTTGTAAGCAGACCCCTGATAAAAGACGAGAATGAAAACTAAAGCACTGAGACCAAGACTTCAATTTCCCCCATTGCACCACTTATGTTTTCAAAGATAAAAATGAATTACATATGTGTGTGCTTTCTGAATCTTTGTTAACGATAAACTAGTACATTATTTGATGCATCCTCCAAACTTATGTAAAATATAATCACTACAAAAATGAGAGGCTATGTACTTTTTCAGAATCTTTGTTGGTGTGATTAAGTAGTATTACCGTGTTGGTGTCCAAGATCAAGGTACTCGCATTTACTGCCTGTGTACTTATTCCTCTCATGACATGAATCCCGAATTTCAAACCGAGGCTATGTACTTTTGCTGCCACTTCAGCGAACCCTTTCCCACCTCTCGACGAAGGCCACCTATCTGGATCAGGTATCGGCCTCCCCCACTCATCGATCACATCAAACCCAAGAGAATCAACATAAGCACCTGGAACTTTTCTCCTATACCACAGGTAATCCACCACAGCATACTGCATTGAAGTGAAAATACAAAGATGCATAAAACCACTCTCACACGTACAAATGAATGCGAAAAAAGAAACAAAAAAACCAAATTCTTATCGTATTCCATCAAACACCTCATATCCATGAGGAAGGAGCTGCTTTGCCATAATTTTGGCATTTTGGGAGAATTCTTCCTCTGAAATAGTCCAGATAAACGAGTCATACGAGTTCCAACCTCTCGGCGGGGTGCTGGCGCGATCTTGTGATGACACCCTGAAATCAGCATACATTTGCAACCACGATTTGCATCACAAAACCAGAAACATTGAGATCATCAAATAAAACAAATTAGCAACAGAAAAAAAAAAACCAAAGTAAACAAGGAAAAAACAAAATAATAGTGATAGCATTTAATCCAACACACAACATTCCTCAGTTACACACAAATTTTCAGATTAGTAAATTTGAGCTCAGAAACCCAAAAGAATAATGCCACAAATGCAAATACTAATAAATGAGTGGGCAAGTTGCAATTAACAATTCCGAAATGGAATCTCGCAGAAACACTGAAACAAATTCTGGGTTGTCGAGTAGATGATCATGCTTATCATCAACAGGAAACACCGAGCAAGTGAAGAACAGAAGATGATGAAATGGTAAAAAGTAAAAGTGGGTTTTTACCTCTGGGTGAACAGACCGAGTAAGAAGCAGAGAGAGGTGAAGAGGAACAAGCAGACATTCATGGCTCAAGGCTGAAGCTTTGACTCAAGCACTGGGAATTCGATTCCGACCAGACCAGACTGGAATTCAGACGACGGAATCAAACAGGCGGCAATGGAGTTAGGTATGACACCGACATGTTACAGCCTTGATCCTTCTTGGGGGAGGCAATCTACTTCATAACCACTTTGTGGTCTCCGTGAGGAAATGACGAAATGCTATTTAAAAGAACAGAAATTTTTTAGCGTTGAAATTCTACATGTCATAATACATGAATATATACGAAAAAAAAATATATCAAATTTTTTATTTATATAGTTATATATGAAATATATGAAGTACCGTTTGAATAGCTGATACTTACAATTATAAAAAAAAGAATTTTAACGAAAAATTCTAGGTACTGTTCATTTTAATAAAAAATTTACAATTTTATACTAAAAAGTTATACATTAAGTACTGTTTGAATAGCTGATACTTACAATTATAAAAAAAGAATTTTAACGAAAAGTTCTAGGTACTATTTATTTTAATAAAAATTCACAGTTTTACATTAAAAAATCAATCATGATATTGTTCATTTTACCATTTATTTTATCTTTATCGTTAAAACTCAAAATTTTCAAATTATTTTTGTTAGTTTTCCTTTACAAAAATTCATCTGGGATGAAGAAAAAGATTAAAAAATATATATATTTTTTATGGAATTTTGTTTGTTGTGCCTCGCTTGGCGCTGACGTGGGAAATATGTACTTTTACTGATATGAATGTTCGATTTTATCTGACGATGTTGGTCAAAGCCAAGTGCCAAATTCCAAATATTTTGACGGGGTTCTTTAGTTCCAAAATTCTGATCGTTTACAAATTGAATGTCGGCCACTGTTTTTGTCTTTAATTCTGCCTTTTTGAGATGGCTTAGAATCAATAATTCATTATCTAATAGATTTTTTTTTGTTCTAATACTCCATCTAAGAGTTATCAATATTTATCAAAGTTGTTCCCATCTAACTGAAAGGAGTTAAATTGATTCTTCTCGTTCGACAGTTATAGATTCTCTAGTATTTTAGCACGATTATTACATACTTGTTTGAAAGTATTTTTAAAATAATTAATAATATTTTTTATGAAATTGATTTTGAGTTACAAAAGCACTTTAATTGCTTTTAGAAGGAAACATCATATATGTGTTTCTTACAGGAAGCACTTAAAGTGTGCATAATCTATTTCAATTTTTACCAAATATTGGTTTTCAAAAATATTTTCACCAAAAACGCTTTTAATTATTTTAAATGCACTTCCTAAAGAGTTGTGCAAGATCCCATGTTGCGCTCACTGGCTTCGGGTTCCATCAGAACGTCGAAGTTAAGCGAGTAGCGTGCGAGAGCAATCCCATGATGGGTGACCCACTGGGAAGTTCTTGTGTGAGTTTCCAGAAACAAAACCGTGAGGGCGTAGTCAGGGCCCAAAGCGGACAATATCGTGCTACGGTGGTAGAGCGGGCCCGGGATGTGGTGGACCCCGGGCCGGGATGTGACAAATTGTTATAAGAGCCTAACCCTGGCCATGGTGTGCCGACGATGTCATCGGGCCCCTTAAGGGGGGTGGATTGTAAGATTCCACATCTCCCAGGGGAGTGATCCTTATATGTATATTCTCATCCCTATCTAGCATGAGGCTTTTTGGTAGCTCCCTGGCTTCGGGTTCCATCGGAACTTCGAAGTTAAGTGAGTAGTGCGCAAGAGCAATCCTATGATGGGTGACCCATTGGGAAGTTCTCATGTGAGTTCCCAGAAACAAAACTGTGAGGGCGTAGTCGGGGACCAAAACGGACAATATCGTGCTACGGTGGTAGAGTGTGCCTGGGATGTGATTGACCTCGGGCTGGGATGTGACAGTTGTATATCTCAAGTTCAAATACTTCTCACACTTTTAGTGCAAAATATCACTTTATTTGAGAAAAAAAAAAGTTCATACTCATGCCAAGACTGTAAGCATAATTTCCACCCAAAAATGAAATTGATTATTGAATGTTTTTTATTCATGATCACACATATCCAGAGAAACAAGGGTGTTCAAAGACGAAACTTGAGTATACATAAATTCATTCTTATTTAAAGCACATATATGGTTATCTTATTTAAAACATATATATGGTTTTGATCGTATTAAACAAGTTTAGGTGATCTTATTTCTGATTTTATCACATTTCATATTACCACTATTTTCAAAATCTTAGATTTGGATTTAAGCCATAAAACAAAATATGGGCCACTCTTAACAACCCCATCTAACAAGGCACGAATTTCTCCTTGCATAAATACACATCTGCGTGGACCTTCATTTGATCCTAATTTTTGGGTAATTTATTTCTTTTTTTACAATTTCATGATAATTACGATTTAATGATATTCCTACTTTTCTCGGTACAAAAAAGTTTAGGAAATGGAAAGGCTACTCCATCCGAGGACCAAGGCATAATATAAGCCTCTTTAAGGACTTACAGAAGAGGTCTTAGCCATTTTGGTGAAAGTTTTACATTTAACTTCTATAAATAAAGAGCAGTAAGATAAAATTTCGATTAACAAAGTATTAAAATAAACTAAACACCATGGACTAGGCTGCTAGGTGCTAAAATAATGGATCACAAAAATCAGCATGGAGTGATTCAAGCAGCGTTCACTGCCTGAAAAACATCTTTCACATTTCTCTAATAATTTACACAGTTCTGATAATGATACAGGCAAAACTATTTGACATTCTTGACACAACCGCAAATGAGTTTGATGCATGCCCTGGTTTTCCCTCAATTTTCTTCATCACATAGTGCAACATTCTTTCAAACCTTTCGGGGAGAAGTTCGCGATTTCATTTCACAGGTATACAATCTCCGGGCTCTTGGAATAATCAAGTGTATTCGGTTTGCCAACCTTATATTTTGTTCAAGCTTTACACATGCAAGGAGTTAGAGGGTTCTCCCACAAGTCATAGTTAGGGAAGGTCGCTTCTGGTAATCCAGTTCGTGTTTCGTGGGTAGTCACTACATCGTCTGCAAAGGTGGCCCATCCCATGTAAGGGTCCCCAAAAGATTTAGACATCAGCCCCTTGTCTGGTTTTATTGATTTTTGACGATGACCCATGTACCGGCGTGCCCCTATGATCAGCTTAGCAAAGTTGCCTCCGTGGGTCATCACGAATACATCAGACTTCAAGCATACCAGGAAGTCAAGCGCTGCCAAGCTAGTCACATGCTTCCTGAATTTATCCAACTCCTGCTTAGCCGCCAACTCCTCTTTCGTTACCTTTTATGAATAGTAAAATGAGCATATCAATCAAGAGGGGGGAAAAGAAGGATTTCAAGTGAAGAAGTTTCCGCATGTCCCCTAAGTTTCCGCTTTTAAAAGATTACATATTTATACGAAGTAACCCCAGCTAGAATTATACCGAACCCCATTTTCTGAATTCAACTAGTCATCCAAGTAAGATATTCTTAATAACGGAAGGGGTATAATCTTTTAGATCTGACTTACTAACACTTCAAAACTAATGGGCTGTCTTCACCAGACAAGTTCAGTCAGTAGTGCTATGGTAGAATAAATTAGAAGTTCATACCAGATTTGGGAACATGTTCCTCAACGGCGCCATCCTGTTGTGGCCACCATAAACCTGTCCTGAAGCAACATAAATTTGAGTTTCCTTAGGATAGCCCATTGCTCGAAGAATGACAGCCACTTCCCCAGGCTCAAGGGGGCATCGCCCTTCCTTTCGCTTCTGCAGGGCTAGTTGCCATAGATGGGTACCATTCTGCATACCAAAATCACCATCAAAAGAAAAAGAAACACAATAAGACTGATATTCTTTCAAAGTTCTGACTCCATAAAGTTGACCTAGGTATGTTATTTACCTTGTACCGTCTTGGCCATTCTTTATGTCTGTATTCTGCCATTAGAGCTTTCTCTTCCCTTGTGCCCACAAAATCACAGAAAGATAGGCCTACCATCCCTTTCTCAAACCTAAGATGAAGAGCCCTGCAAGTGTAGAATTGTTAGTGAAGTTAAGGTACAATTACCAGAAATTTGAATGGATTTAAGTACAATGTTACATACATATAAGGATTGGAACCTCCAGTGCGATTTCTCATCCTTGACGCCAATAAATCAGCCATCTCCTCTATCTCAGGTAGAAATTTAAGAGCATGATAATTCACCCTGCACCTTAGCCTGTTGATTTCTTGAGGGACATTGTCGTACCTGAAACCAGAGAGGTATGATATTATTAACTTGTTATACATTCTTGATTTCTAACAGATATAAACACTTACATTTTTTAAAGATAAAAGAAACTTTCAGTCCTTTTCTTTCTACAAGAGTGTGACTTGTGAGCTTTGGACAGCACCTGTATAAGAATTCCCAACTTACCCGAGTCGATCGACAAAAGGTTTTAGGGCCATTATCTTCTTCTCCTTGATTCGCGGCAGAACATTGTCTATGTAAAATTGAGCAGGTGCATATTTTGGAATGTTCTTTACTGTTCGTCTAAAGAAAAAAATTTACATATCAGTGCGAGTTGCAGAGAAAAATCTATACAAATTGGGGGGAGAGAGAGAGAGAGAGCTTAACCTTATACTTGTAAATAGCTCAGCTTTGTCAGTAAACCACTCAGGAATATCACGAACAATTCGTACATCATCCTTCAGGTAATCAATGAAATGGTCAACATCAAAGATATCTTCAAATTTCCTGCAGAAGTTGTAATACTCAAATCAAGAATTGCAAGCATAAGAGATCCCAAAACAAGATCTTATGAAGCAATTTCAAATAGGGATACTTTCAAAAGATCTTTAAAAGCATGAAAGCAAAAAGATTAGTTTTTCAAGATCTGTAACAGAGACCATTAACATCAAAATGGTATTTTCCTGTTATTTAATTGTGTATATAGTTATATACTGTTTTTATGACTTTACACTAATATGACAGTACTTATAAAAATAGAGGCAAAATCTCACGTTTGGTCTTTCCAAATCTGGTCCTGCTTCAGCACAGGCAAAATAAGGGTGGCATTCATTATTTTGGCTACAGCTACTGCATTGCATATCTGCATGGAAAACATACACATGACAGTTCACATACAACAATAAGGCAGAATCATCCGGCTAAACTTACAGAACCATATCTCAAACTAATATGCAAATAAGCAAGCAGACTAGCGCAACCATTATAATCCAATGGAAAATTGCTTTCT